CAACAGCCTTTCTGGGTAGCAGCCTTTCCTGCTGTATCGTCTCCTCTGTGTAGAAGTTTACAGCATTGATCTTTCTTGTGCCCAGTCCCTCAAACCTCTCTAAAAGCTGACCTTTCCTGGCCTTGAATCCAGATGACTGTACCAACCTTGGTACCTCTCTGCTGGACTTAACGCTCTGGCCATTGCATCCTGCATGGTAGAGGGGTGTGCTTGCTTCACTTGTATCTTAAGTTGTGGACTGTCCAAGGCATCTACAAACTGATCCCTCAGTAACAACTTGAGGAGATCGGGTGGTGCAGTTGGGTAGTCCTTGTGTGCCATGCTTTCCAAGTCCTGTGCCAGGTCTTGCAGGCTCTGCCCTTTAGCACAGACTCTTGTCCTAAACCTAGCCCTGTAGACTTTGGACTGATTTTAAGTTCCATACCTGAGTTCTAGAGCAGCTACTAGTGCTCTATAGTTGTGCCTGTCGTCTGCTGACAACTGTCCAAGTGTTTCCAGTGGTTGTCCCTTCAATCTCGTTGCGAAGTACACTGCCTTCTGCTCCTCTGTCCATCCATTCATTTCTGCCAAGAACTCAAATTGTGTTCTATATGCTTCCCATGGTGCCTTCCCATCGAATTTCTGTGGCTTCCTTCGCACTAGATTACCCCTATTGCTGACACTCATGTCTGGAATGTGACTTTTGACAGGACTGAAGATGTCTGCATTAGGGCTTAGCTGCGAGGACTGGAAGGGGCTTCCCGTTGTCTGAGGCTGATTAGGTCCATGGCCAATATATCCTCCTTGTGCAATAGACAGTAAATCATCCTTTAATGTATTTAATTCACTTTGAAATTCACTCATCTTTTCCATTTGTGTATGCTGGTTTTCTCTCAACTGTTGGAGACTTTCTTCTTGTTTATTTTTTTTCTCCTTCAACCACTGCTGTAGTCTCTCTTCTTGTTTCTTTTATCTTTCCTCCAACAAATGCTGTAAACTCTCTTGTTTAATTTGCTGTTCGAGCTGCCACTGTTGCAGGTTTTCTTGCCACTGCTGTTGTCTATCTTCTTGTTTCTATTCTCGTTTTTCTTGTTTCTTTTCTGGTTCTTCTTCTTTTTTTTTCCATCCCACTCTCTGACACCAATTTGTTACATCTCTTTTCGTTTGTTAATTTCCCATTATAATTTCTTTCCGGTGTAACTTTAGCGATACAAGTCCTTTCTTAAATAAAACTAGATTATTCTTTCTCAATACAACTTTGCAATACACTTAATTTCCACAGTCACTTTAACACACGCTATAATTCACAACGATTAACGCTCTTTACTTACGGTCACTACCGCGCTTGACTCAATTATCCATCTTTATCTCTGCCTGTCTGCAATTATCTATGCCGTCACTTCTTTCTCTCCGCTTTATTTGCCGGGCTTATATATTATAATAGAGGGCGCCTAGAAAACACTCGGGCCTTCATGATCCTTCTAGAATCTCATGACGTGTTACCAGCGTCAGGTGACTTCCGCTGTCTTAACAATACTATATTAAAATAAGAAGGTGGGAAATGCATTTTGTACTTATATACCCAAGAATTAATAACCCGAGACAGAAAAATTAGCCTGTCTCGGTGTTAAAGTTTTTAAGAGTTTAAGTAACATATCTATAAAAAGCCTTTTAGAAAAATTGAATTAACAGATTTGAAATGGGAACTTGAATATTAAAAGTTAGCAAATATATTTTAAATCTGTGAGAGATCAATTAGACCATTTTCTGTCTTTTAATGAAATAACGTTACTGTTAAAGGTAATAGTTTGTGCACTGGTTTTCTTGATGATGTGTTTAGGTTCGTTTAAAATGTTACATATTAGGTATATGGTTGGACAGGCTACATTTCAATAAGTTACATTTTTTAGTAAGCTAGATTGATTTGATGTGAAGACAGTGATGATCTGAATAGCTTTATGCAACTTTATATTTACCTATTTTTCTTGAATATATATTTAAAGCTATACAATTGAATTTGAAGACTACGGTTATTTATTTTTCAAAAATTATACTTTTATACTAAAACATTATCTCTCAAAATTGCTCGTTGTTTTGATGCAATTGCTATTTATACTTTTATTTATTAATTAATTATGGTATTATTGCACAATAGTGTACGGGCATGCCTCTTATGGTAATATTTGTAAACTATTGTGCCTAAAAGTGCTGTTGAGATAGTGTAGACTATGCATCGGCTGAATTAAAATAGTATAAGATTGAAGATACATTTTCGACTTCGTTAAAAGGTTGAGTGCAGGTATTTTTAGGCATATTTTAGACTTACATTAACTAGCTTGTAACTGTTTTTAGTGTTAGCATTGTAGAATTAGGTGTATTATTATTACTGTTATGCAAGTAAAGACGAATTTATTGATCGCAACTTAAGCCTAAATTAAAGCAAGAAACTTGAATAGGCTTAGCTTACTTTTAAGCATTATGCTTAACTTTGCTAAAGGGCATTTTACCTATCTTTTCCTGTGCAAACTGCAATATAAAGCTATACAACGATGTGCTTTTAACATGTATATTTTGCTTGTATGAACTGTATTTCTAATAGAAAGTAAAATAATAATTCAGACCTAAGGTCAGTTGTTGCTAATACTAGTGTTAGTGTTACTTGTCATTGTGTCAGACAAACAATATAACGTTAGTTTTACTGTGTTCACAGTGTTACTCTGCTGTTAGCAGTATCGCACAAACGTTAGCATAAAATTTAAGACTGATGTTTCTGAACATAATTGTATACCTCGAATGGTTATGAAGCCTACTGTAAATGAGTATTTCACATTTGTTTTTGTGGAGATGTAAAATCTACAATGTATTTCTTAATCTTTGTGACATTGGTAACAACACTTGTTTCTAATGTTAAGTGTTTTGTATACTTACCTTGTGAAGTAGCTTTTATGTATACTTATAAATATTTCTTCAAAAAACAATGCAGTTTAAATTAGGCACATATGATGGGTTGTATCTAAAGAATAGTAATTTTTAACCTGTTTATATATGACAATGAATGGAGTGAGAACTAATACTTTAAATCGATTTTTGAATGCATGGTTTGCAAGTCGAGGAAACAGTTTTAATTTGAAATATCCTGAAAGTTTTGAATTGTTGAGGTCGGACACACAGGAACTTTGCTCTCACACAATGAAATGTCTGCTTAGCAACCAAAGCGAAGGGGCAAACAAATAGTGTGATAAAGGGGAAATTTTGTTATTCTGTACACTTTCCCGCTCGTATTCTTAACAACTTTGTGTTTGTGATGAACTTTTGTTGTTCCAAACCTGCAAATGTGGTAACTTTCCTTCTATTTGATACCCAGTCCTCCAACTCACCTTAATAGTAAGCATTAAAGCAAACATATGTGGGATTCTATTCCTAGCCTAGAATAGTCTTTGTTGATAACTTTTAAAAACTAGTTTGACCTGGTAGTTTACTTTTTAGTGCATGTTTTCCCACAAAAACAAGCTACTGAAGAGGAGAAAAGAGTTTTGTGGCTGAAAGCTATCAACTGCAGAACACAGGAAGTGATTGGAAGGCTGTGAGAACCAAAGTCTGACTATAATTGTGTGTTCAGCTCATTTTATATCATATAAATGTTGTCTTCTGATTTTTTTTTACAAGGTAATTGTACATGTCTGGGTACTGTATGCAGAGCCATTATGTCAGGTTGTTGATCCATGAGTCATCAGGGTGCTGGTAGGGTCAAGAATCAAGCCCAATTAATTGTTACTTTACTCAATATCTCACTAATTCCTCAGCTGACAACTTATGAATTGATAAGACATTGCGATTGATAATTTAACTATCAAAAATAGTATATGAATGATAATTGAAGAATTTGCTTAGCAGTTTCAAAAGCAACATGTATATATGGTAGACCTATATAAATTGTGTACATGCAGCTGTACTCGCTTCTCTATTGTTTGCTCTTTGTCAAGATGGCAATTGCATTACCAGACAAAATCTCATGACTGTGATGTCATGCCGACATCAAGAATAGCAAACTTTGGCAATTAGATACTGTTTCAGAGTGTAATAGAAATTTCAAGTCCATTCTGAATGCACTCAAATTTTTTTTAAAGGGCATCATAATTTAAGGAAATATTACATTTCTTAAGTACCATCTACTGGAAATAGAACATCCAATTTTATAGTCAAAATTATAATGACATTTGACAAGTAAAACTGTAGTTATATGCTGTTAAGCACTAAAATAGCCTAATTCTATAAAGATGTCAAACTTGGAAGCATGTTTGTGACCTTGTATTCAGACTTCATTGGAGATACTTTTATCTTTATTTGCTGGTCAGTAGAAAACCAGTTTAACTTATTGCCACACTATTGCTTCAATAAATCAACAGCTACCTGAGGCATGATATTTGGATTCTCATTCAATATGCTGAGAAGATGGTGTAGATGTATGTTATGTATTCATGATTGAGTAGATGGAGAAAAATGTCTGCTTTTTATCAATCTTATATTGCTAGTAGCTCATTTATGAGTTGTTTGGAATGAGCAAGATTAATGATTTCATAAGTTCCAAGAAAATTATATCTAATTTAGTCATCGTGTTGTGTACTTCTACATTTTATAATTGAATGTTGTATTTCCTCTGCTTATAATGTTTGGAAAATGACCATAATACTCATCATTACTTAAAGTGATATGCAAATTACCCATATTTTGAGCCATTAACAGTGGGTTTTCCATACCTGTAATGTTCATATCTTTTTCACTGTTCTTTTCTTTTTGATATTTTTTCTGTTGTAGTTGAATGGTCCTTGTTGAAACAGTAGTAATAGGGCTACAAATAGTGATTTAATTTTATTGAGCAAGTTATGTTGAATAACAGATTTCAGCCTTAAGCTTGTGCAGATGAGGAACTAGAGGAAGAAAACAGAAGAGAGATAAGGATGAAAAAACATGAGGTTATAGCTATAGGTGATTCTTTAACATGGCTTCTGGATAGGAAAACCTGTAGGGTAAATATGGAGAAAAAGAAATCAAATTATGCTGTCCAGGGGCAGGGGTGTAGGATATAACTGACAGAGCAAGAGATATATTGAAGGGTGCTAGCAGTGATGGAATCTTAGTATTGCATGTAAGGGTTAATGATGTAGGGAAGGGTAATTCAGATGAGCTGATTGATAGTAACAGCAATGAAGTTGAATCTATTTGGGGTGCTTGTTAGTGAGTAGAAGGTGTTTAGTTAGAATTTGTTACAGACAACCAGATGAAACTGATACAATTAATGAGAAACTGTACAGTGAGATAAAGAATTCAATTATTAATGAGGTAATAGTTATGGGGGAATTATAATTTGAGGCATATAGATTGGGAAATGTTATAGTCAAACCATGAGGGATACAGGTTTTTAAAAACTGTTTCAGGATGGTTTTCTTCACCAATTGGTCAGGGAACCTACGTGGAACAATACTATTTTAGATTTATTGTTAACTTGTAATTTAGAAATGGTTGATAAAATGGATATTAGGGAACATCTAGGTGCAAGTAATCATTTATCTATTAGGTTCGATGTTTTGCTACATATGGAGATCAGGAATAATGATATTTGGGTTACAAATTTCAAAAAGCAAATTTGAAGGGATGTGACAAGAATTATCTGTTGCGAATTGGGCAACTGAATTAATTTGAGATTTTGATCAAATGTGGGAAACTTAAAAAATTAACTTTTAAATGTTCAAGATAGGCATGTTCCTTAAAGAAATAAATGGTAGCTGCACATAAACAATCAAGTTGGCTCAGAAAGGATATAAAGGATAAAATTAGAGAAAATCATTATAAATTTAAGTTTGAATTAACATAATGGGAGATGCAGAGAATTATAGACAAACAAGAGAATTGGTTAAATGGAAAATAAGGAAATTGAAAAAATTATATGAAAAAGGTTGGCTGAAGATGTAAAAATTAATAGGAAGGATTTCTTTACACTTAGGGTAAGCAAGATGTTTGGATGGGCCTAGGGCATTGGAGGGATGATACAGGAATTGATACAGTACAAGATGATAATGAGGTAGCTGGATTGTTGTCTCTGCAGAGAAACATGCTGTTTTATCTTCTTTCATCTTCCAAGCACTTTTTTAATCAACTGCCATTCCTTCATTTCTTGGTGGATTAACTTGAAACTTGGTAGAGTTACACCCTGGTCCAATATGCCCAGATACTTTTTTAGTTTAGGCCTTTGTAAGGGTTTTATGGGGTCAAATGTCAACACATCCTGTCAACACATTGTTATCCTGTGTAGGCATGTCTACTGCAATTAAAATGAAAATTGGCACAGATATACATTTTTATGTGCCCAACACATTGTGACATACAAAAAAGTTGGATATGCCCATTTCGAGTCTTTTTAAGGGGTCAGAGTTCCTAAAAATTCACAATTTTGGGGTTTTTGGACAATTGCTTGGACCAGTTTCCTTGGATTTGGTACAAAGATACTTTTTACAAGTTCCACACATTGACCAACAAAAATGTTGGACTTGCCCATTTTTAGCAATTATGAGGGAGGGTGAAGATGCCACAAAAATAGTAATTTTAGGGGTTTTGGTCAATTACTTAGCCATGGTTTGACCAATTTACATGGAATTTTGGTACAAAAGTACTTTTTAACAGGTAACATACACAGACAAACAAAAATGTTGGACTTGCCCAGTTTAGTAATTATAGGGTGGTCAAGACACCATAAAAAGCATAATTTTGGGTGTTTTTTACAGCTACTCTGCCATATTTTTTGCAAATTGACATGGGATTTGGTACAAAGATACTTTTTTACAGGTCCTAAACAGAGATATAGATAATCTTGGAATTTTTGCCTTTTGATCAATTTTTCAGCAAGGAAAGCATAATTTGGTGTTTTTGTGAACTATTCATATATATGTCAACCAACTTACATGGTATTTGCTACATAGATACCTCCTTGCAGGTCCAGAGCAGCAATATAGACAGTTTTTCATTTTTCTGTGTTTTCATGATTTTTATGGTGTGAAAATTGGCCATGCTGGGATTGCATGGCAGACATATGATGCATTTGGACAAGAATGTTGGCCTCTTTAATTAGATTGTACTTTTTTTTCAATATTTACTAATAAAGATTTAAGCAGTGTTTCTCAACCTGACCATTTCATAGATGATCACATGAATTCTGAGTTTAAGAACAAAAATGGAAAGTTTAAATAATGATAAAAGCTCATGAGCCAGATTATTTCCTCTGTGGTTTTGAAGGAGTTTAAGGAT